CGCTGGTCGTGTTGTAGCCATCTTCTCCTCTCTCCATGTCGTCCGCTTCACCTTTGCCTTGTCGTGGTTGACATCGGCCTCGTCGTCTTCTGGTTTTCGTACCGGCGTGGCAACTACAACATCGGCGAAGTGGGCTTCGAGAAGGGGAGCGGCGAAGTGGGCTTCGAGAAGAGGAGCGGTGGAGTAGATCCATCTTTCCGGTGAAGCAACGTTTGCCGACGGTGATGTCTCCGTGACGAAGTGGTCGTGACAAAGTGGTTCGAGAGGAGCAGTGGCGAGGCGGATTCGACCAGCGAGCTGATCGAGGTGAAGACGACGAGGTGAAGGCGACGAGGCGAGATCGGAGGGAGAGAGATTCCGGCGGTGTTCTTCGATGGAGTACCATGACAAGGTGGGTCGAGAGGAGGAACGACGAGGCGGACTTCGGCCGGCGAGCTCAATCTTGATCGAGGTGAAGGCGGCGAGGCGAGATCGGAGAAAGATGGTGGTTTGAGATTCTGGCGAGTTGACTCCGTGAGTTGACTCGATGACTGAGTCAACTTGGTCACTGAGATTTTTTTTTTAACTCGGCGACTTAGTGACTCGACGACTCGGTAACAAGGCTAGCTTTGTGGAGCAAAACTAACTCGGATTATTGCTCTTTGGTGCAACGGAGTGGCGAATTGAACAGAATCGTTTCTGATTCCATGGACTCGCAGTTTGACCATCCGCGCGACAAGGACAACAATGAGACTACTTTAGACTTAGACGATTCTGGAGAGATGGTCGATGATCCTTTGCTTCTTGGAAGGAGGATAGCTCTTTCTCTTCAGTCTGATACTGGTAGTTCAAGGAGGTCGACCTCCTCCAATGTTCTAGTCACGGTTGGAGAGGTTAACGATGAGATTGCGGTTTTACCGGCTGCCAAGAGGTGGAGGTCAAGGCGAAGAGAACCTGACCCGCCAGGATCTACCATGTAAACTCAAGAGTCTTTGGATTCCCTTATTGCTTGCTTCAACGTTCATGATGGAGTGGATTTGGAATCCCTTATTCGCGATTGGTATTTACGCCTCGAGGAGACTGCTTTCATTGAGGTCTTGTGAGAATTCCATCGAACGTGGACAACGAAGCTTGCGTCGCCCAGTGGAGGTGGCGACGGTGCCACAAGGTGGATTGGAGCTCGATTGGCGAGGTGACGCGATGGTGACGAGGTGACGCGATGGAGATGAGGTGAAATGGAGCTCGATCGGAAGGTGACATCGACGACGAGTTGACGCGGCGACGAGGTGAAATGGAGCTCGATTGGAAAGTGACATCAGCCACGAGGTGATGCGACGGCGACGAGGTGACGTGATGACGACGAGGTGATGTGATGGCAATGAGGTGAAGCATCAAATTTAGGACTCCGTCGACGGCGAGGTAAAGCGTTGATTCCGATGAGTCGAGGTGAAGCGTTGATCAGGCGAGGTGCATTGGACGACGACATAACATTGATGAGGTGATCGATCGACGACGTAAGCCATGGCATGATTGACTGGCGAGGTGAAGCTGACGACGTGAAGTCGACAAGGTAATCGTCAGAGGTGATTAGGGCTCGTTGTGGAGTGGAGAGACTTGATGATGAGTTAAATCCGAAGGCATTTGGCGACGAGGCAATGGCGCGATGAAGCAAGGTTGATTTGTGGATCCAACGCCGAGGTGGACTCGTGTTGATGACGAGGTGGTCATGTTTACTTGAAACCAAGGTGGACTTGTGTTGACTTTACACTGAGGTGGAATTGTGTTGACGTCGACAAGGTGACTTTGTGTTGACGATAAGTTCAAAGACGACAAATTCATCTTTTCACCCAACGAGCTTGCGCGAAGAGGATTTGATCGTGGTAAAAACAGAGCGAAGTCATCGACTTGAAGAATTGAAGTAGATTTTGCGAGGTCGAAGCTTGGTGAAATCGTGAAGTGAAAAAATTATTCTTGACTAGGTGAAGCTTTGGAAATGGTGAGGCAAAAAGAATGGTTTCTGACTCTTCAAATTCTTGGTCATGCTATTAACAGAACGTGGATGCTTTTGAAATCATCTCAGACTTGAATGATTCTGAAGACGATGTCCGTTCGGTGTGTTGTCAAAGAGGTGTTGTGACCAACGATATGTTTATTGGGTTTTAGAGATTTTTGTATTGACCGTTACTTTGTTATAAATTAAGATGCTTGATCTCTTAAGACATTGAAATGAGCGTTAGCGTATTGACCAACCTGCTCTAAGTATGCTATTGTTATACCGTTTCAGGATTGGTGATTCATCCCTTGATTTTGAACAATGATCGTCATGTTGATGCGCTGATGAGCCTGGCTTATTATTGATAAGCCAAATGACTTGTTTATATTTACTAACTTTGATGCAATTGTGGTTTACCGATGAGTCGTCATTGACAAGCCTTCAACAGCTATGTTATCGTTTTAAGACTGCTGATTTAAGTCCGGACAATGTTTGTCCTGGTTTTCAGACAGGCTATCGTTGATTGGACTACTTTCGAAGATTGACTATATTGTTGTTGGGTCCAGCGATAAGTTAGCTGTGTTTTATGATGATCATTTCGGTTTACGAGCAAATCTGCGTCGATGCAGCCGCTCCGAGAATGACAGCGTTATTACGTAATGAACACGTTATTTCGTCCACCGAGATGTGTGCTGGGTTTTTGAGATAAATATTCTGGTTTACGAATATGTTTCCGTGAACAAGTCCGCTCCAGCAATGAACACAAAATTTTTACCAGCTCGGTTTTTTAGATGAACAATTTGGTTTACGGATATGTTCTCGTGAACAAGTCCGCTCTAGCAATGAACACAAGATTTAGACCAGCGAGCTGTGTGTTGGGTTTATGAGTTGAACATTCTGGTTTACGGATATATTTCCGTGAACAAGTCCGCTCCAGCAATAAACACCGAATTTATATAGCACGCTTTAAAAACGAGGAGGGTGTAGTAGTCAGATAAGTTCGTCGTTGTGGCCAGCAGCGACGGTGGTAGAGTATGATGAAGTTAAGACTTAAAATAATCCGTGATGGACGCAAATGAGATGCAAACGAGAAGTAAGCAGATCTTTGATCTTTATTAATCGTAGCATTTTTTAGAAAATGGGAGTATACGAGTTGT